TAATACGAGACATATAATTTAATTAGTTCAACTATTCGATAAGGTGTTTATTTTGTACCAAGCCTTGATCAACCTTTATTTCCGGAATATTAGTGGATTATGCGAACAAAAATAAGATGAGAAATGTGAAAGCAACACCAATACCTAACCTGAAGAAATTATGAGCTTAGCTGGCCAAGTCTCGATTGCGGCCATTTTTCCCAATCATTGCTCCACCTCTGCCCTTTGCCCTACGCATAAATAGTCGGTATATGACAATCATCATTTTAAAAAGTTCAAAATATTGTTCTAAAAGAAAAGAAAGAGAGCCTTCAATTATATTCAGTTTATCGTACTTATGATTGTTTAAGTGACGACAAGAACTCCAAAGGCTAAAAATTATCATAAGTGGCAAATTGCGTGTGCATGATTTTCTTTCAACGGGTTCAATGCCTTAAGTTGCATGTGAATAAATTTAGTTGAAAAATTAGTTGATAGTTGTAGCTTATAAGTGAAATTTTAGTTTACACTCGAATTTATATATTTGTTTTGCTGTTTGAATAAAAAATAAAAAATAAAAAATTAACAAAACTGCAATCACCCTAAAGGCCTAAGACCATCTCCAATTCTTATCTCTACTCTAGCGCGGACTTTACTCTACTCTAGAGTAAAGTTGAACATTCATCTCCAGCTCTTATCTCTACATTTTACTCTACATTAAATATATTATTTTTTATTTATTTTTTATTTCAAATAAATTGGTATATATGTATATTTAATATTATATAAAATGTTAATTACTCAAATAATAAAAATATATTTTATTTATTTTTATTTGTGTGTTAAGTCATTTTTAATCATGTTGTTTTTATTTATGTTCTATGATTTATGTGTTGTAAACTTTAATTTTAATGAAATAAACTTGTTTGAGTGCGTTAAATTTTTATTCATATGGTATCATTCTAATATTAAAAAATTGCAGAATAAAATCATAATACATCAATAAATGAAAAACACAAAATTATTTAGCATAAAAAGTACATTACACAAATTATTTAGCATAAAAAATACATTTATTAACACATTATACAAAAATATATCATTAATATTATATTAAAAATACATAAATGAAAAAAATCTGAAGTTGTGAACAGTACTGCGCCACAATTGGCGCAACACTGTTCACAGCACTGAAGTAAAGCTGAATTGTGGCGCTGGGCTGGAGGGATTTGTGGCGTTACTCTTGAGAGATAACGCCACACTGGAGGTGGTCTTAACGAGCTGAGCTCGAGCCAAGCTGAACTAGACTTGTTTAATTTAACAACACTAATTAGGAATCACGGATCACATTTCTGCTCATGTTCCATTTTGTGTTCTCAATGATTGACACGTGTATAAATGTTGACATCATCATACACACGTGTCATTCATCCAAAATGGAGTGCGAAATGAAANTCTCACTAAAACCTCCATACCGCGTAACGTTAATCCAAAAAAAAAGCAAAAAATGCCCCCCAACACATATAAATACCTCACTTCACTAAACACATATAAATACCTCACTTCACTAAATCGCCCTTCTAACCAAATCAAATTTCCTAAAAACAAGAACACCATAAAAAGGCAAAATCAATAATTAAAACAAAAGCAACAAATGTACGCCTTAGAAAATTTCACAAAATTTTCCAGAAAAAGTGCGCACCTCGCACGCAGGGCGTGGAGCCTCGTCCGCAGGGCGTGGAGCCTCGCCCTCCTGTGGGCCCGCAAGGGCGGCCTCCTCAGGAACAACCACCGGCTCGCAATCGCCTTGGCCAAGCTCACCCGGAAGCTGACCGGCTCACGCCGCGAGGCGCGCGGCGCGCTCGCGTACGGAGACCGCGAGTTCTCGCTCGACGAGACGCCGGTGTTCCACATCAGGATGCGCCGCCGCTCGCCGCCGCGGTTCAGGCTGTCGCAGTTGCCGTGCATCAGGCCGGAGGTGGTGGATTTCGACTGGGACGAGGATTCAATCGGCGGTGAGGATGAGATGTGCGATTACAGGTATTATGATGATGATGGTGATGTTGNAGAAGAAGAAGAAGAAGAAGAAGAAGAAGAAGAAGAAGAAGAAGAAGAAGAAGAAGAAGAAGAATGGGAAGAGGAATTGCAGGCAGGGACGGATCCACATTGTGCAAAGGGGGGCTATTGTCCCCCCCAAACTTTTAATTTTGCTTAATATATATGTATGTATTTATGTTCTAAGACTTTTTAAAAAAAATTAATATATAGATATATTATTGATTAAACATTTATAAAGCATATTCAATTTATACTCATTCCTATAATTATTACAAATTATTGTATAGTACTATTTACTAATTAGTTTAAACTACATCATATTTTGTAAGTACCCTTTCAACAATGTTTTATAATATTTTTTTGTGTTTGATCTTAAACAATTAAATAATTAAAGAGTAACATTGGAATAGAAGAACATGCAACACATGCAATTCAATGGTTCGAAAGTGAATTACTATAACTATTAATACTGCATTAGACCATCTTTAGGATACTTAATAGTTAAACAACCACACTCTTCCAACAAATACATTTATACTTTAATACTTAAATGTCATACGTTATAGTGCAATACAAATAGAAGTATGACATTTCATAGTATAACAATGTATTTTTCATAGGGGAATATATCTGTCTACCAATTATGCAGCCTACCAGTTATAGCAGTTATGTTAATTTTGAACCAAATATCAATGAGTTTTGTGAATGTAAAGAATGTTGAGCATTTAAACTACCAAATTTAAGAAGTTATGTATTTTGTAGTGCAACTTATTAATTATTTTATTCATTTTAAATGCAATTTACTCCTATATATATATATATGATAGTTTAATAAAATGAATCAGATCAACTAGACTATTTAATAAATAAACAAAAATATGAGCACAAATTCGACTTGTGTAAGCTTCAATCTACTCGATTTGTTTAATAAGAAAGTAGAATAGTTGTTGTAGCTTGGCTCATTTAAATATTTGAATGATATGAAATTAAATTTTCACGAATTTGAAAAAACACAATCCAGTTCCAATAACTACTTTGGCCCCTCCCAATTTTTTTTCCTAGATCCGGCCCTGATTGCAGGGATTGGAGGGAAGGAAAGGGGATTGTGAGGAGGGGATCGATTCGAAGGCGGAGAGGTTTATAGCTGATTTTTACGAGGAGATAAAGCTACAAAGGCAGAAGTCGTGTTGGCGGCGCAAATACGCTATTAACAATCGCGATTAAGGGCTTGGCTGGTATTGGTGGGTTCAATAGGGGCGATTTTTGGCGCCAGATAATGTAGTTTTGGTGATATGCGGGTTTTTGTGCATATAACGTTCTATATTTGTTGGTTCTATTTTTAAAGTTTTTTTTTCTGAAATATTCTAGCATTTATGCTAAATTTTTGTGTATATTTGAACTATAAATAAAGAATAATTATAATTTCATTACTATTGATTTGTGAGAAGGTACTAAGCATGAATGATGGTTGACACTGCATAACCGTAATAAGAGTAGTACTATATGACTAATAGATGCATATAAGCTTCGTTAAAGCTTATATGAAGTATAAATGAATAATGGGTTGACATATGCAATAAACTTGGACATAGTATAAACTGCACCAACAATTAAGCTTGAATTAGAATTAGAAAAAAGGTAGAATTTTCCCTTGAATACTTAATTTACCAATAATATCAAAATAGAACATGGTATAAATTCATACAAAGACAAGCGTATAATTTTCTTCCAATCATATAACTACTTCCCAATGATACAGGCAACACAAATACATGAGTTAATTTATTCTGTCAATTTTTTTTACCTTTTAGTTTATCATATGTGCTACTCAAAATCTGAAAAATAAAAATTATAATAGAAGAAATAATAGATGCTTGTCATGTGTATTTTTCCATAATGAAACCAATCTGGTAATATAGCACTACTCTAGATATAGGCCAATTCTCTAATCATAATAAACATAACAGATGTTCAACACTTAAGTCTCTTAATAAAATCTTGTTACCAGGGAAAAACACCTACTTCCGCTGAACTTGCAAAACTCCCCATGGGTCTGTGAGTAATATACTTACAACTGGTATTAAACACCTTCTTTCTTTCTTTTTCTTTTTTTTTTTTTTAAATAAAAGCTCGAATACAAATTTGATAAACAAAACTATCTCACCACAAACATCACAAAGATCACAAGTGGTGAAGGGCCAAAACATGTCTCCCACTTGCATATGATGTATGCACATTGCAGATCTTTTCAAAAATACCATGGATTTGAATTTTCATCCCATCAAGGTCCCCAATGTTCCCTGCAACCAGAGTACGATTATGCATATTTCTTGAATTAATTGCCCTTGTGAATATATTGAAGAAATTCGAATTCAAAACCTTGAAAATTTTTGTTTATCCTCTTTATCGGATCACGACAATAAATCCTACAAGCTTCCGTTCTGAGGATTTTTAAGATACGGTTCTAACTGCCCAATTGCCGCCAAAATAAAACCTACACAATTGAAATTCAATTGAAGAGGAACGAATATCAGGCATATATATATATATATATATATATAAATATTTATTCATTTTAGGACGTTCTAGACCTTTAGGGACTAGTAATTTACCTAAGAATGGAGGAGAAGGCCTCCCAGGGCGTGATTTGTATTCGGGATGAAACTGAACCCCCACATAGAAAGGATGATCCTTGAGCTCCAGAATCTTCAGAGATTAGAAGAAAAATAATATAAGAAACTAACAAGATAATTAAGGGCCATCAAATTTGTAAGAGAATATATGAAAGAGGTAAGTTCAAGAAGATGACCTCCATGCGCTTTCCACTTTCATCTTTACCAACAAATTTTAGCCCAGATTTTTCCAAAATGCTAACCATGTCTGGGTTCACCTGCAGCATATGATTTGAAATATGGTGAGTTTGCAAGTTCTGAAAATGGCAGATAACTCAATCCAGTCATTTATGATCAATTAACCTCGTATCTGTGCCTATGCCGTTCATCGACGTACTCTGAGTTGTGGTACCTATACAGAAAGCAAAATACCGCAATGATATCCAATACTCATGAAGAACTACTGGGATCAAACACTGCTAATTGGATTTAATTGAGGAAATCACACTTTCTAATGAAACTACCAAAACGGAAATGCCTTCATTTCTGGAAAAATAGCTCCCATTTTAAAATCATATTATAACATATATATTATTCACAATAAAGGATGATGAAGTAAAATGGCTGTGAGCTCTTACAGCTTTGCTGTCAAGCAATCTGGAGTCTGGAGTAATGTTCTCCGACTCCCAAGTCTCATTGTGCTTCCCATATGTGTTTTTGAACCCTGAAGACATGAACAAGAAATTTAATTGTTCAAAAGAGGGAACACTTGAAAACACAATAGATTAAATGGGAATGAGAAACAACCTCTGGCATGAAAATCACAACAGGGTCTGGAGTCTCGTTATCAAACTCACTGCTATTTGCTCTTTGCAAGTTCAATACCTGTAACCATGTATCGGCACACAATTCACCATGAAGTCATTGAAAAATGCATATATATGGTTTAAGGAGATATGTTACATTTCTGGCAATCTCAATCACGGATATCTGCATGCCCAAGCAGATGCCAAGATACGGTACTCTGTTCTCTCGAGCGTATTTTGCAGCCAATATCATTCCTTTCACACCCCTGTCTCCAAACCCACCAGGAACCAAGATACATGCAGCATTCTGAAACAATAAACTGCCATGTCATTCAAAAGTTTTAAGGTTATTGTGCAAAGAATATTGTGAAAAATCAGGGGGAGAAGGATTACAAACAATATTACAGGCAGAAGTATTGTGCAAAGCAATATTGTGAAAAATCTGTCTCTCAGCACAGACAGTAAGCAATATTTAAGAAAAGTGATGTGCAAAGCAGAATCACGCTAGATAAGGCAGACTGGAGAGGTTGGATGTGCAGTACCCTTAAAGTTCTCCAAGCAGTTGCATGGGCTTCTGGTGTCTGCATGGAAAAATGAACGGGTTAGACTTTATGACTATGGTGCCTAGACCACAGATGAGTACTACAACATATGTAACAGACAAAAAATCCATACAGATATTGCACTTTCATCCTCAAGATCCGAAGCTGCAATCCAATCGATCGCAGGCTTCAAAGAACACGCTATGCAAGCATGCAAAAGGGCCTGCATGGAAGGGGTGGAGATTAATCATTAAGCAATCAACACCATTAGATCAAGTTAACAAATTGTGAACTACTGTCAGAGAATAAATGTTGCATTATATTAGGCGAGTTAAATTCTAACATGGGAATGGGATATAATGGTAAACAAATTTACACTCCTTTGAAAAATGATTATAATAGAATTAGAGAACCCAATGAATTACAATAATTTATTCTGCATTGTCTGGAAAAGAGATTGTATTGAACAGTGAACACACTCTATCCAAGACTCCAAAGGCTTCATAGAGGAACCAAATAGAAGATTTTTCACCTTCACAACAGATAAATAGGAATCTGCCATTCCAACATACTTCCCAACCATTGCGATTCGTACCTGGCGAAGCAGCAAGAAACAGTCACTAGTCACAACTGATTTTCAGCATGCCATAAAGCAGGGTAAACTAAAAAGGTTTCGCTACTGACAGGGTTTGTTAGGTTGTCGAAAGTCTCAGCTCTGTCGGTCCATTCTTGCAAATTAGGAGCACTAGCTACACTGAAAAGAAAATTTACATGTCAAGAAAGCACCCATGCAAATTTTTTCTTATGTGTTTCGCAGTATTGGCAATATACCATCATTTTTAGATTTAGTTATGATCCATATGAAGGATCAAAAACAAATTTGCTACTGCTTGAACAATTTATGCGTTCCAAGAAAACGACAAATGATGCAAATGATAAGTGAGGTAATAGAAACGCAGAATACAACTCACTTCAGTAAATCCAGATGTCTAAGAATGGCATCATGTGCATTTTGATTCTGGAACAAGGGTATGATACTTAAGTTAAACCATGAAAAAATCAACATACAAAGTGTTCAGTTTCGTAGGTAATGTCATACTCACTCGAAGCAGAAGAGGAATGTGCCAAATGTTGGGAACATCATGGATATTAAGAATATTGCCAACCTACATTCAGAACCATAAAATTAAAAACGAAAACTGACAGTAACGAAACAAAAGTAACCATAAGTAACAGTTCAAACGAGGTATAGCATAAGTTGTAACAACTTGCCGGCACGTGGCAGAACTGTGACAATTTCTGCCTGGTATTTTCCAACAGCGGCTGCAATATAAAACAAAAGCAACATTAAACTTTGTGCCATTCACAAAATGATGCTGCTCTAAAATAATACCACAAACAGCTAAAGAGTATTACATGGGAAAGGTATTTGTTATCAATCAAAAGACCATGGAGAAAGACAAAATAATCCTTGTCTTATCAGACAAAGTACCTCGGTCGATCGGCAAGCCAGAAAATGAGGAGTCAAGCCTAAAGCTCTCAGTTCTCGCACACTATGCTGTGTGGGTTTTGTTTTCTGCAGACATTAGCATGGTCGGGGAAAAAATTTAGCTCACATAACTTATACATATATTGTGCATATATGAAAGAAAAAATAATTCAAAATATGAGGTAGAGAACATTACTTGCTCACCAACAACGCCAAGAACAGGTATAAGGCTGACATGAATCAGGCAGAAATTATTTTGTCCTACGCAAAAAAGAGTTTAATCAAATATAGGAAAAAAAATGAAACAGAAAAGTCAATAGGGCTACATTATGCTCAAACATAACTTTTTTCAGTAGAAAATCAAGTACAGGATTGAGTTCAAATAACTGAACTAAAGAACCTTTAAAAACCTATTATATTCTACACTGCCCAGAAAACAACAAGGGGAAAGGACCTAAACAAATCAAAGAAGGAAGCTAAGGAAACAGCTATCTCCTGTTTCCGGATGTAGATAATAATGCAGCCTTACCAACTGAGAACAGTAGCTGCCTCAGAGCTTCAATGAAAGGCATCGACTCTATATCACCTGATAAAGTGAGGTATAACCAAATATAAACATTGAGAAGTTTTAAATGTCTTGAGGCAGAAATAATCCATCCAGAAAACAACTTACCAACAGTCCCTCCAAGTTCAATAACACAAACATCTGCAGCGCCTTCTTTTCCATCCACAGGAATAACAGACACGGATTCAATCCAATTCTTAATAGCATCAGTAATGTGCGGGACCACCTGGTAGTGTATAAAATAGAGGTAAAAAACTAAAATAAAAAAATGTCCCGTAGTTCTTACAAAAGGAGAACAATTTTCTATAAGTTTTCAATCACCTGTACGGTCTTCCCAAGATAATCCCCTCTTCGTTCCTTCTCAAGGACGGACTAAAAAGAAACCACCAAATACGTAGCTCGGAAGATTAAAGCACAAAAAATATTACATATTCAATAGGAATATGGTGTAGTACCTGATATATCTTTCCTGTAGTAATATTGTTGTCTCTTGTTAGCCTCACATCCAAAAACCGCTCATAGTTACCTAAATCTAGATCCACCTATTAAAAAGTTGTGAAATCATTTCAGATAATAGCTCCATTGATGGTAATTCCTAATGGTACAAAAAAATATTCTCAACAGAAAGAAGGATGGCAGCACCTCTCCACCATCATCGAGAACAAAAACCTCCCCGTGCTCAAACGGAGACATTGTACCAGCATCTGTATTCAAATAAGGATCTGCGAACACAGAAACATCATATGCAGCATCAGAAAACAGTTGCGCCAGTCAGAGTCAGATTCATCTTGCATGACAAACATAAAATTGGACACACTAACGTTAATTTAACAGATTGAGCTGATGCCAAATATATGAAGCCAAAACGATTCAACTCAAGCAAGGAGAACCCAAGACAATTCCAATATGTAAAGTTGCAAAATCAATTTTATCCACAAAACAAACTCCTAAATGAAGAATTAAACAAAACTACGTATATGAAGCAAATTCTACAAACCAAACTGTGTGAAATAATTAGAACTCATATCATCACTGTCCTAGCACCGGATAACAACTAAATAAGGCAATAAAATGCTATCTCTTACCGATTTTAATGGAGGTGACGCGGAGACCGCAGGCCTTCAGCACGACGCCGATGCTGCTGGCCGTGACGCCCTTGCCGAGGCCGCTCACCACGCCTCCCGTGACCAAAACGTATTTCATTATTCTCCTTTCTGAATTTGTGTTTTGCGGGGACTTTTTTTGCTATGAGGAGAATAAAATGGAGCTTTTGTGTTTAAAAGCTATGGATATGCTCTTGACTCAGAGAGGACTCACTCTTCACTGTACCTTTTTCCAGCTATGGCTTCCATGGCCATTTATTAGGTTTTATATATAATTAGCAAAGTCAAAGCCCTAAAGGCCTAAACCCCTTGATTCTTTTTCCCTCGAGGAAGGAAATAGTTTTTGTGGGCTAAAAGGCCGGCCCAGTAGTATTGGGCCTATAATGTAAATGGATAATACATTTTTTTTTACCATTCCGGGCTGTACTAACGTGTAGCAGATCTGCCCGAAGTGAGTCCATATATTCCCATTGTCTGCTCAATATTAACCACAGCCATTAAGAAAGAAGCATATATGCCTTGGTTTGGGTTTTGGGTATGGACAAATGGAATCCAAGGTCAATCAGCTTTGAAAATTATAAAAGGTACACTTATAACATGCAGTCACATTTTGCCATTCGAATAGTTGCTTCGATTTATTTACTTTTCTTTTATGTTCCCTTTTGGGTTGAAGAAATTACATGAGTAAATAATGTGGAGTTAGTAACCTTTGAAGTATACTTCTTGTTCCCAATAATCCACCGTTTATATATTAATTTACTTTATTTTATGAATAGTTTTACTTGTGCATATAATATTCTTATTATTTTATCAGAATATATTATTATTTTATCAGAGTATGTCACGGCCCATATAACTATTTGTACACCCTTATATACAAATGTCTATCAATATAGTTACTTATAATATGGGGAAAACAAGGTGTTTGATGTTTTCACTCTAAATTGTTTACTACAACTCCAGTATATTACAACTCCAGTATATTACACGGGATGCTTGTTAAAAAAATATTCTTAAATTTAAAATTAATGAGAAAAAGTGTTTTAAAATTTAAATATTTCTTTTATAAAAAATATAATTATTATTATATATTTTAGAATGTTACTTGTTACTTGTGCGACTTACATGTATTATGTTATAATATTTTTTTCAACTTATATCATATAACTACTTTAAACATATATATATATATATATATTAATTGATAAATAATTTTATTTTTAAATAATATTAACAAAAAATTTTACTATTGTTATAAAGATAAATATAGTTTATTTATTTTATGCATACAACGTGGATGTCAAATCGAAGTTCATCAAGAGACGATTAATTTGATATATTATATATGTAAACCTGATAAAAATATAAAATTTATTAACTTTTAAAATACATTTACAATTCAAATGTTATAATAAAAAATGATGTAATAATGCAACTAATACTAAAATGACCACAAATAATCAATATATTTATGGATAATCCGGATCTAATTATTTTTTAATTGGAATTAAATTAAAATTTATCCTAGCCAAATAATGAGCAAGAAATTTTGTCACATATGATTCCAAAACATGCAAGTCTACCACTTATACTCAGTACATTCAGATATATAAAGGGGATAATAATTTAAGATTGATTGAGTTACCCTTCTCTCAATGGTAATATTCATATGGCATTTTTCTACGGGGGTATTTGATTTTCAGCGTTTCTAAGGAAACGCTAATTTAGCGGTTTGACCGAATCCAAAAAAAGCTGAAGTTATGCTCAAATATTGTTTGGCTATAATTTTTTTCTCTTAGCGGTTTTGATAAAAAAGCCAATTTTTTGTAACGCTGCTAAATGAAGTGTTTTGGATTAGCTTATTGGTATTATATGGATAACTGAAAGTGTATGCTAACTATACAAGTATTACTCGAGTTTATTTATTTAATAATATTAAAATGTTAAGAAAGAAAACACGTTGATCTGTGCAGTTTTATTTTTCTTATGAATCATTAATACTTATGGAAATGTTATGGAGCCAGCCGTTGGCTCCATAGCAGGACTGTTAATACTTATATTTAGAAACTTTTTACGTTGCTTAGCTTTTACATTTAATTTATACTAGTACAATACCCGTGTATTATTACACGGGTGTTGAATTAGAAAGTTTTTGTTAAAAAAATTAAATTTTTTATTTTTTTTAAAACTAAAATAATTTAATTTTATATAAAACATTACTTTTGATTTTAATTTTTTTTAATCATAATAATTAAACACCCGTACTTTAAATGAAAATGTCAACCCGTGTTGGATTTTTCTACTTATATCATATAAAAATATCGATATTATAACTACATTAAACATAAATATATTAATTGATATACAATTAATAATTTTATTAATTTTAATAAATAATTTTATTATAATTATAAAGATAAATATAATTTATTTATTTTATATATACAATATGGATGTCAAATCGAAGCTCATCAAAAGATGATTAATTTGATATATTATATATGTAAAACCGATAAGAAGTACAAAAGTTATCAACTTTTAAAATATATTTGCAATTCAATGGTTATAACAGGAAATGATATTAAAATACGATTAATACAAATATTAATTTATATCCAAGCCTAACTCCACAGCATGATTTTTTTGTCAAATAGGATTCCGAAGCATGAGAGTTTGCCACGTAGGCTCAGCGCATTCTGAAATTATATATAGATGGGATTCTATTTATTTTTATAAAATCAAAATGTAAATGAAATTCTAATTTATTATAGTTCATAATATCAAACTAGTGCGTGGCCCGTGCGATCCACGGGAAAAACAATACTATGATTGTATTATAAATTAAACATATAAATAACATTAATCATAATTTATTTATTGTTTTTAAATTAAACCGGATTTGACACAGTCTGACCGGATGGACCGAGAACCGATTTATAACCAGTCCAATTCGCTTGAATAAAATATTTGCTCTCGAATCTGTCAACACCATGGACTGGTAGGATCAATACGAATTTCTAAATAAATTTTATTATATTTAAAATTATTTTAAATAAAATTACATATTTAAATAAAATAGAGATTTATAAATTATTTATCAATTAGTTTAAACATTTGAATTTATAAATTGTTTAGATATCTAAGTAACACATTTTATTTAAATTTATTATAAAAAGTACTATATATATATATTAATATATATATATATATATATTAAAATGTTTATAAATTAAAATCTGAACAAACCACAAATTATTTAATAAAATAGTTTGATCGTTTCGATGACGATCCAGTTCTGAAAACCTTATATTTACTGTATATTAATAAATATTATAATAAAATATTATTTAATTCACATAAATAATAAATGATATATAAATATTCATAAATTATTAAACATGTTGTCATAAAGTATTGTTAATATGATTATTTGAAGTTTGGACTACATTACATTCACGTAATAAAATATTTTCAATATAAAATTTATATTTAGGTTCAATAATCGATTTGATGTAGTCGAACTAATACATAATTTAGTCACCTGGGGCCAACCAAGTTGAGTAAAAATTTTTGACTGTTTTAAATATCATCTAAAAGTAATTCAATCAACCTGGGCAGTACCCTAATTCAATCACCCGATTTATCTGAAGAAATTTTCTTATTTTCTTTAAATATATTTAATTTTATGAAATAAAAATATTTAATGATTCATATAATAAATGTCTACACCAAATAATAGTATATTAAGATTATAAATTATATATCTAAAGATGATTTAATATTTTACTTTATGCATATTAATAAAAAATAAACATAGTAATTTTTAAAAAATTAAGATTAATTGATTAATTATGCAATTTAAAGAATATTTTTAGCGTTCAATATTTTTTTTTAACGGCAAATATAGAGACCGAGATTTTAATATTGTTCGTTGTTTTTAAGAAAAAAATAAAAATAAAAACAAACACAGTTAATAAATCTTAGCCGGGTTTTTAAATAATAAAATGAACTAAAGCTCAAAATTTGAAGTAGCATTTAATTTTGTATGATTTTTAAAGAAAAAATAAGAAAAGTAATAAAACTTACTATAGATAGACTGCATTAAATTCTGACCTATTTTTTTGCTACTATTTTTGGTAAATAGTAATTCTTATTATATATAGATAGATTTAATTCTTAATATAAGAATAATAAAATAAATAATTGTTGTATAATACTTATAAGTATTTATATAAAAATATAATCAGTTAATAATACCGGTATATTTTTGCAAATCAATCAACTGTTTTTACCAAACATATATTACGCACACCGATAATACCAACAGCTGGCCAAAACAGTTAATACCAACAGCTGATCAAAACAGTTATTACAATCAGTTATCCCCTAACAGTTAACCGCTAATTATTAAACAGGGACTATACCTTTTTCTATTTACGAATTCCACGATATTCCTCCGTAGATGAAGAAGAACTCCTCTAGTAATCGGCCGTTCATTATCCATAGATGTAGTAAAGATTCATCTTTAGTTAGAACGTTATATTGTCCTACTATACTACCTTTGATATTCTCTTACCTTTATTATAGGTTGTACCAGTGACTTATGTCTCGACTCAAAGAGATCCCATTCAAACTCGACCCTTATTCATCCCCTACCGCAGCAGAGCTACCAAGGGCCAAGCCCACCAATTTCGAGCTATATCACCTAGGCTAGGTGACCATACAAATAACCACCTAAACTCCTTCAGTTTATCGAGCTATTGGGTTGATTCATCACTTAAGTCATACTTTTTAAATGCAAATTCATATTTTTAAATTGAAATATCCTACTTTATAAAATAACATAAACAAAATCTATATATATATATATACATATATATATATATATAAAGGTTGTTGGAAAAATACATTAATAGAAAGTTTGACCAAAATTTAAATCATATATTTTTTGGTAACAAATTTGGAGATTCTTATGCAAAAAATGTGTCAGTTATTTATGAAAACAATTTCAAATACAAATTAACTTAAAAACCGTACAAATTGGATACAAATTTAGGAAACAAATAGTTGTATAATTCTTAACTAAATATTCCAATCTTATTGAATAATTTTTTCTTTAAATAAAAGTGTGTAAATTGGATAAAACCACGTGCAATTTTTTATTTTAGAATAAAACTGATATTTGGACGGGATGTACATTGAAAATTGTGTCCACAATTTTTGGTGACAAAAAG